CTGACTTTCAGAGGTGTTTGAACCAGAGTGACTCCACCTTGAATAGGGGCTGGGTAACCTACTGAGGCTGAGACCCACTGAGCTGCATACCCACGTGGTTAGGCATTCTAAGTCACAGGATGAGGTAGGAGGTCAGCACAAGACACAGGTCATAAAGACCTTGCTGATAAAACAGGTTTCAGTAAAGAAGCCAGCCAAAACCCACCAAAACCAAGATGGCAATGAAAGTGACCTCTGGTTGTCTTCACTGCTCGTTATACACTAATTATAATGCATTAGCATGCTAAAAGACCCAATTTTACCCAGTTTGGTCTGATGCTGGAGAAACAAATCGAGCTCACTGGTATCTCTCATAACTGATTCTGGGAGACAGAAACTGGGATCCCTAGGAGAGATTCTACTGATTCATTCATTCAGCAAATGCCCGTTACATACCTACTGTGTGCCATAGTGTGGCAGGCTCGGTATATTGCCTCATACATTATCTCACAGGGTTATCTGTTAACAGCCACAAGTCAGAGGCTTTTGAGATACAGGGTCCTGGGAGAGCCAAAATAGTATTTGTTTGTTTGGAATAATGAAAGCTGTCTTCCCAGGCCACAGGAATTAAAACTAGGAGTACTAAATCGGCAATTGTCTAGCCTTGCCTGAGCTTTTTCTCAGGCTGTAGTTTAGAATTGCTTGGGGGAACTTGTTAGAAGTACCAACCTTGGCCAGAACCTCAAAGAACCAGACTCAGTCAATCCGGGATGGAGTCCACCAATCCAAGGTTTTAAAAACAAGAACCAGATGGGGATAGGTGATGAGTTAGCCACTGGGGTTCAGAAACCCGAGAGGGTGGGGTGGCAGTAGTTGGGCTTGCAGACCAGACTGGTCTGGGACACTTTGTGATGAACAAAAACCTTCCCTCTTCCATTTTTGACCTTTCTGCCCTGGTGGACGGCTTTTACATAAGAGTTTTATTTCTTCCTTTTGTGGGCAAAGCAAAAAGTGTGAGAACGAGCTGCTCTACATAAAACAATTGAAGGTGGAGTTCAGATTGAGAGCTCTCAGAGGATGCTTTTGTTTTCCTTTGAAATTTTTGGGAGAAAGGAGCCAAAGATTCAGTAGAGGGGGCCAGCCCCAACCCTTTTGAATCTGCCCTGCCTCCCCTGTTCCACCTGTCGAGGCCAGGAGGTAGAGCAGCAGGAACCAGTCCTGGGTTCAGACCCTCCCGCTAACTGTGTAACCTTGAATTTGAACTCGAGCTTGGGCTTAACCTTTCTGTGCAGCACTGTGCTCATGAATAACTGGTAGCAGTTACCTCCCGTGGGCTGTGCCGGGAATAATAAAGACGGTGCGTGCAATGGCATCTGCCTTGGTACAGGTCAACAGGAAGGCTCTAAATCAGGATTCTCCAGCTTGAGAAGCTCGTAGCTCAGCTGGGGTCTTGAGAAAATGATGCCAATTCTGGTGCAGCAGGTCTAGGGTAGGCCTGAGAGTTTGCATTTCTGGCAGGCTTCTAAGTGAGGTTGATGTTGCTGGTCCGTGGATCACACTTTGAGTAGCAAGGGTCTGAAAGGCGCTCACCTCCTTAGGTTTTCTGTGAATAGGTAGTGCAGATAGCTAAGTTAACAATTCTTTTTTCAGTCCTAAAAATAAAAGAATGCTTACTCCTTCCTTAACTCTGATCATGAAAATTAGGACACAGAATGCTTGCAGCCATAAACACTTACCTCCCTCATCTCTCAAGTTATTAATTATCCCCAATAACATAAATACTGAAGAAGAAGGCGGAGCAAGGGGTGATCTGCTCTGTGGGCTGAGAGAGGTTGTTAAGGACAGGGCTTCAGGCATACAGAATAAAGATGGCCCTTAAGATTCAGGGATTCTGCTTCCTTACGGCTCCTAGAGCTTACCTGTGAGTGAAAAGTTTTAAATATTAATAGAAAGCAAAGAAAAATGAGAATGTCTTGTCTTCATCCATGAAATCAACTTGAACCTGTCAGAGTCATCTAGAGGGGCTGTTAAAATGCAGCCTTCTAGGCCCCACCCCTGAGAGTCTTTAGTTAAGTAGGTCAGGGGTAGAGCCTGAGAATTTGCATTTTGAACAGGTTCCCAGGTGACACTGGTGTTTACACTGTGACCAGCTCAAAAGACCACCTGTGAGAGCCATGAGCATGGGAATCAGTGCTGTCAGCCTGGGCCGCCTCTTCACACTTCTGACCCCTCCCATCAAAATGGTGTTGCCAGGAAGGGGTTTTCAAAACTGGAGTGGGGTTTGGTTGTGAATGGGAGATACAACTGTCCTCAGATATCTGAGGGTTAGGAGAGGTTAGATTTCTGGAAAAGAACGATCCTGGTGGCACCACTGCCTGCAGACAGGGAGTCACAGCACCACGGTGTGTTCCCTCTCCACCCCCACGGTTAGGCCTCTCTGATCTACCTGGTTGGCTGATCCCTTGGTGGGGGGCGGGCGGGGGCTGCTTTTTAAAAATAGAGCTTTCCAGGGTGCACCCCAGGAGATTCTGATGAGCAACCAGGTTTGGGACCCCCTGCGTGGAGAACAGCGAAGCACCAGCTGGGCACTGGAGAACTGCTCTGTTTTTAATGCTTCTTGGATGCAGCACTAATGATCACTCAGCAAGCAAATGATTCCCCGTCAGGAAATGGGACCCTTTGTGAAGTACATTTCCTCACAGGATCCCTAAAGTTATAGTCGATAAATTCCGGCTGCGTCTTCCAAAGTGTTTTATTTCCCATCCGAGGATGGCTTCCAGCCAGGAGCATCTGGCCAAGGGGACTCATCCAGGGTGAAACCCCCCCCTCTCCGCCTTCCCCACTCCCTCACCACTGTCAGCAGTGACTCTCTCCACAGCCACTCTGCTCTGGCCTGTGTTGAAAGCAGAACCCATAAAAGTCACGGTTGAGCAAATTCCAGAGAGAATGCTTCCCAGACAAACTCAGCAGCATAGAACATATCTGTATGCAGAGTCAGGTTACAATGGAGGCAATTACTTGGATAATAGCCTAAGGAGAAATTCCACCCCCCCCCATCCTCGCCCCCTGCTTTGTTTGTCATGCTGTCATGCACAGATTTGAAGACTGCAATCTTGCCTTGAGTTTTCTGATTCACCAGCAGATGCTTGAGAGCATCACTGGGTGCTGTGCTCTGTGCCAGGTAGGGGTTTATAAAGGAGACTCAGGTACAGTCCCTGCCCTGTGGAGTCCACTGCTGGAGAAAGATAGATGCTTACATGACTAACTGTAAAAGCAGCATCACTCCTAGAATAGCCCATTTCTAAAGTAGACCTCTCAGCACTCTCCCTCCCCTTGTCTGGTTTCATCTTCCCCACAGCGCTTGTCCCTGTAGAAATGACTGGCTCAGTACTTGCTGGTGCTTCATCTTCCCTCTTACAGATAAAGCAATGTGAGGCAAAAGACCAGAGCTTTGGACCCTGGCCTCTCCCAGCCATTGGATGCGGGCTGTCCAGCGGGCATGAGAGTGGCTTTCTGCAGCAGAGGTGTTGGGAGGGTGGTGGCTGCTCACACACCGCGAGGATCTGGGGCAGAGGCTGAGGGAGGACCTGGGCAGCCACAATAGCTCTCAAACCCAAGCGTGCATCAGAATCTTCCAGTAAGTTTGTTCAGGCACAGATAGCTGGGCCCGCTTCAGAGCTGCTGATCTAGTAGGTCTAGGATTTCTAGCACGTTCTCAGGTGATTCTGTGGCTACTGGTCCCTGAACCAGTTTGAGGACCACAGAGGGGTGCATCAGCATGGCCATGACAGTGAACTTAGTGAATAGCTGCAGGGTGAGTCCAGTGACGGACTTCTTAGAAGCTATGCTAGTGACCCCCATGAGAGAAGACGGGACTCTGAAACAGGCTCCAGCAGTGGCTGGAGAACAGAAAGGAAGCACCCCAGACACATGCGACAGTGGAATCAATGTGCTGGCAGGAGGCAAGGAAGGAGTTCGAGCAGCGGGAAGGATAGACGTGCTTTGGGCCAAGATGGGCACTGGGTGGGGGAAGGCATAATGTGTTCCCTTTGGGACCTGCTGGTATGAGGGGCTAAGGAGACCTCCAGTAGAGATGTTGAGGAGGTAGTGGGAAGTGCTTTTAAAACTCAGGAGAGCAACTGGCGATGGGTACAGATGCTGGGTTCTTCTGGATAGAGGTGTAAGCTACCTCAGTGGGGCTGAATGAGAGTCCTTAAGGGGAGAGAGCAGTGATGTGCTCGGAAGGAAGCCAGGAGGCTCTCACTCGTAGGGGTGGTTAGAGAAAGAAACGAGTGGGGTGCTCCAAGGCTCGTGAAGGACAAGGAGGTGTGACCCCAAGAGAAGGGGTTGTGTTTGAGGCAGAGTTAGAGGAGCTGGTCTCCAAACTTTGAAGTGGATAGTTTTTCCACTCTTCATCCTACTGTGTGCAATTTTATTTTGCCTCAGTGACAGTCACTTTACAGCCATATTGGTGCAACATGCATTAGCAAAGGAAGTGCATGCCATGTGCATATGCATGGGTGCTGCAGCAGCTCTCCGCAGCAAGAGGAAAGCAAGACGAGCACTACAGTGGTTCAAGTTGAAGCTGGAGGTCATTTTTTGCCCCCTCTAAGCTGAGCCCTGAAGAAGAAAGTCACCATGTATCCATCTTGTTACCTCTTTGGATTTGACACTGATCCAGATCCTCCTGGGACCTTCAATCCACTGCTTTTACAGGGATGAAAAGGATTCTGATGACTTTTTTTTGAACTGTTTGGGCAGGAATGCTACAGAGAGAATCAATTTCTGTGAACTGAGAGTCCCCAGGTGATAATTTGGTGTTTCACACACAGGCAGTTTTCTTTTTAATGTGTGGTGCTTGTTTAGTCGTCTGGGTCTTGCAAACCCTGGTGTTTGAAAAACAGGGATGTAGTTCAGCAGTGTCTGAATAAGGCTGATGACTCAGAATCATGCAGGCCACCACCAGCCGGGACTGCTTTAGGCGTGAACCCACGCTTCTGACCTGTGCTCTGTCGTTGCAGTTCTGCACGGAGCTAAACCAGCCGACCCTGCCCAACATGCGCAAGTGGAAGGGGCCCCGGGGATGCTGGAAGGCTGTTGTTGCTGAGAAGCCCTCGAATCAGCTCCAGAAGGTACCCTCGTCTGCAAAAGCTGGCCTTTCCCCTCCTTTAATTTAAACATACTTTTCCCCTAATCAAGGGCATTTAAAAATTTCCTTTGCCAATATCCTTGGTGCAATTTTGTATTTCTGCCCAATTTTTAAATCCTTGCCATTCATTTCTAAATGCCCTGGTTCTCGTTTCATGTTTAGATTGGGAATGGACTCCTGCCAAGACGGAAATGAGAGCTTAGGGTGTTGGGAGGAGAGGAGAGGAGAGGAGAAATCCTGTCCAGGGCCAAGGCAGCAAATGGGTATTTCTGTCCTTTGTCCTTCTAATCCCTTCGCCACAGTTCTGTCTTCTGCCAAGTTTGTGCAGAGCTCATTACTCGTTGACTGAAAACTTCAGATTCACCCTAGTTCACAAATGAAGTATTTGCTTCTAGTGGTAGAAATTATGCACATGATTTCAACATAGAAATGTTCTATTGAAATGTTCAGCAGATTTTGGTTTTGAATTTGCTTTCATCAGTATTGCCCATGTGAGCAGGTAAGGGTAAATCTCTGTAAATACATGTTTTCCCTCATATTATTATTCAAGGCCAGATTTATTCACCTTGCAATGCTTAACATCAGTGGGGTTTTAGATTTTTAAACAGACTCCTGATAATAACCAGGAGTTGAAAATGTATTATTATGTAATGTTCCTATAAATGCAGATTTTTAAATCCCTGGTATACCTAACATGCTTACAGAAACATGTGATTTATACTTATATGATTAATGTTTATAATTTAGGCTCTTAAATCATAAAAGTAGGCTGCATTAAAAGTGGCCATTTTTTGACAGTAACCCCCTACCCTCTTTTTCGCTATAACTTAAAAAGGTGCATGAAATCTTCTGTCTCTGGGTTTTATGTTTGGGGGTGTAAATGGCTCCCGCAGCTGACAGTGAGTCAGCACGCATTCAGAGAAGGCTGGAGATAAAGCTGATTTTGAATGCATCTAGTTCACAGCTCTCCCTTCCGGTCCACATAGAAATAATAAGAATAATACTACCTTCCTTTTTAAATCACACTGTACATGTATGTAGGTATCTGAGCTTCACGAGCCTTTTATAGTCCATTCAGCGCTGTGTTCATTCATTCAACAAATCATTGATGAAAAGTGGCTGTGTACCAGGCATTTTGTTTCGTGCCAGGTACACATTGGTGAGAAAAACAGCCCCAGCTATCCATGTCTGCACATTTTTACTCTTTGCAACACACAGTGGGGATCCCAGCTGAAGCCTGACCTGGCCTGTCCCATAGGGAGTGCATAACCTGTTGGAGGGCAAGACAGGTAACCCCATTCCAGGTCAGGGTGTCAAGGCCTTTGGAAAACAACATGAGGTTGCAGGGAGACCCGAGTTCCATCCACCAAAACCTGTCAGCCTCAATTCCTTCATCTGTAAACTGGGAGCGATAGCCCTTTCTTAGCTCACCTATAGGGTGGCTATAGGATTTTAAAAGATACTGTGCTTTGGAATTTGTCATTAGCACAGCACACGCCAGGGCCAGGCGGCGTGGGCTTGAAGTGGCAGGCTGGCCGCCTGCAGTGGACTGAGAGAACTCATGTCTGACTCTGGCTGCAGCTGGGTCCATGTCTACCCAGTTGTTACCATGCAGTATTGTGGGTCCAACGTGGCCAAACCTCCCAGTTTCATTTTAATGGGAAATTTCCTGAATTTTAAAGATGAACAGATAATTCAAAAAATATATAAACACTATGTGAATCAAACAGAATATACCTGCTGGTTGAAAATGTTCAATCTCTGTCCCTAGACAAACATAAGAAAGTGGTAACCGCTGGGGCCATTCTCTGATGCCTGAAATTCTGCCCAGGCATCTTCTCTCCAGCTCCCTAGGGCTTCCACAATAGCCAGCCAGAGGTGTGGTTTCCAGCTGTGAAGATGAAGACCTAATAAGATGAAATGATTTGCCCACAAGCCACCCTTTTGAAATGTGAGGTGGTGCTTGGACCCGAGCCCAGTTCGCTCTCTCTATCTGGAAACGCTGTTCCTCCGGCTGCTGTTCGGGAGGAGAGGGGAGCGCCTAGGTCAGGGCATTGGGAAAGGCTCCCAGGAGGGGACAAGAAACCAGGGTGGAAGGAGCAGTGCGCAGGGAAGTGGGGGTGGGGAAAACAGTGCTGAGCAGGTGAGGGAGGCAGAGGAAGGAGTAGGCCCCACCACAGAGGCTCCCCCTCCAGGGCCGTCGGGGAGCCCCTGAAGGCTTTTGGGCGGAAGATGACTTGAGGGATGCTTTAGGTAAGTTACTCTGGCACCGTGGCTTGGGAACTGGCAGATGGAGAGATAATCCTCCAAAGCCAACAGAGCAGTCATACTAACCTCCCTCCACACCAGAGGAAACTGAGGTTTAGAAAAACCAAGTGGCTCGCCCGGGGTCCCATGGCTAAGTGACTCAGGTGGGACTGAGGCCCAGGTCTTCTCATTCTCAAACCAGCACACTCTCCAGGGGATGGGCAAGGAGATAATTTCAAATGTAGAAGTGCACAGCATACAATACATTCATCCCCTTCCTCCTTCCTCCTAAAAACACACATGTTCAGACAAGGGGTTGAGCCTGGCAGGTGTGTGGCTTAGACCTGCGCCGACCCTGGGGACTTTGTGGTGGCTGCCTAGGAGGGTAGTTGTGCAGAGTCACTTCCCCTCCTTTTGCAATGGGGAAGAATGGTGACTGCTGGCCTCTCAAATGACATGCAGATGGCTCCCAGGCCGCAGGTGCTGAGGAAGCACTGTCATCGACAGCAGAGGCTGGGGTAGGGTGAAAGGAGAAGCGTGTCTTCTTCCCCAAGCCTCCAGAGGCGGCAGCAGCAGCGCAAAGCAGGCACATTCAGAGCAGCAGGGTTTAACACCCGGCACTAGGACTCTGCCCCACCGCCAGCCCTGGCACCTCTGACCTAAGCTTCACAACTCTGCCATGGCCCCATCCATGTGCAGAGGGCCCTCGAGCAGCCTAAGCCATTAGGACTGTCAACTGTGACCTCCACTTACCCAGCAAACACTGAGTGGGCTTTTACGAGGTGCCGGGCAGCATTTGTTGTAAGCTGCAGCTAATCAGTAAGCAGAGCCCATCCCTTGGAGTCATGTTTTAGTCTCAGCATGGTGATCAGCTGTGGGATTTCAGGAACGTTACTTAACCTCTTTGAGCAGTGGTGTCCTCATCTGGGAAATGGCAGCATGAATTGCTACCTCATGGGATGTAATGATTCTGAAGATATCTCTGCACCTAGCCTGGCTTCACCTACCTCCCCACAAAGACAGAAGAGCCCAGGCCACCCTGGCTGCAATGGAAAGCTCTGAAATTGGCAATATGTGAAATTATTTGGGCTGGGGAGTGGCAAGGGAGAGTGGCTGTGGCTTTTGTGGTGTGCTTTTGGTTTAGAAACAGCTTGAGCCAGAGTAGGGACTACTCTCGGTCTCTCTGGCCTCTCTGCCTCCTTTCCCCAGGCGGTGGACTCTGGCACCAAGACTCTGTCTCCCTCTCCACTGCAGGGAGCTGGGTATGCAGGATTCCTGTGGGACGCGGCGGCCGGCGTGGAGCTGAGAGACGCCGGCTCACAGGAGAGCTCGCCCAGCAACGGGCACGGGAAGCCGGCCGGCCCCAGCCCATACCTCGCGCGGTTCAAGGTACCCGTTCCACGCCGTCTGTGACGTGGAATCCGCTTCTTTCTAACGAGAGAAAAGGGCTCGTTTTGTAAAACCACGAGTAAAAGAAGGCTTGTCTTTTTGCCTTGATTTCAGCCTTTCATGGTGAGAGATTTTTGTCTCTCCTGGGGCTTCCTTGGCAGGCAAACTTGTCCAGGGCAGGAATGAAAGGGATTTTGAGACTCTCAGCCCCAATAGCTCTGGCATCTGAGCAGGAGACGGGGGAAGGAGGAAGATTCGGTATAGCTCCTAAACCTGACCCTCATTAGAGTCTCCTGGGGAGATTTTCCTACAGTCAGAGATTCCTAGACCCCATCTCAGACCTACGGAATTTGGGGGATTATCTGGACAGCCTGCTTTCCAAAAGCCCCTTCAGTGATCTTCATCTCAAAGGCCGGGTGTTAGGGAATGGCTGGATTCAAGGGCAGCGGAACTGGCCTGAGGAGCCCCTTCTTATCGGCTGCATCTCAGGCCCGATTCCTTTATTACCAGGGAGAAGGGCCTCTCAAGGGGTCGTTTGGGCTTGGAGGGGATTCAGGAAGAGCTCTGGGCTGTAGGCCAGGGACAGCTCCATCACTGGCATCGCCCATGTGGGAGTCTGTGTGCCCCCGAGTCTGGGAGCAGCTCAGCAGATTGATCGAGCGCAGTCTCTCTGGTTCTCCCCGGATGTCCTTGGGAAGTGTTAATGAACCGCAAAACGGTCAGCAGCTGGGCAGCAGAAGCCAAAGCAGTTTATGAAGTTGGCAGTCAGTGAGCCTTATCCCCGTGGTCCTTGACCGTGAGCTCACAGGCCAGGCAAGCAGGTCCGGTGCCTTGGAGCCCAGCAGGCATATTCCCTCCTGGGCATGGAGACCCCCTGCTTTCTGTGTGCCCCAGAGCAGTTCTTGAGCCTGAGAGTCACTTCAAATCCCAGCCCAGGAGGTGTCTGCCAGCTGAGGGTTGGGAGCAGCCGCTGTGTTGAGGCTACAAGCCCCCGTGCCACGTTGCACACTCATAGCTGTGAGCTGATGAGGCTGGGTGTGTGCTCACTCTGTGGCTGTCTGTCGCGCCCAGCAGCCCCTCTCATTCCTCTGTCTGTGGTATTGGTGGGGCTCTGTCTGCACACATACACCTAGGGGTGTCCATGGGGTGTATCTGTGGCACTCATGTGTAAGTCAGTCAGGTGTCACCTTTAAGCCTCCTAACACCACCCTGGGCCCCCTTTCTATGTCAAGTCCCTGTTCCAGTATTGGCCACATGGGGTTATGGCCATGTAACCCCATGGGTGATACTGATAATCCAGTATCACCAGAAGGCAGGCTGTTTTTAAGAGTATAATGAGAAAATGCTGATTAGCCCAAATCCTCTAAATAAAACAGCCCTCTAAACAGGCACTTGGCCTCTTGTACTGCATGTCACATTCTAGCCCCAGTAGGTGGTGCAGTACGGAGATGGGGCTCATCTCTTCGGGCACTGTGCCCCCACCCAGCCTTAAGATGCTTTCTCTAGCAGGCAGAGCTGCAGCTGCAGAGCTCCTGGTCCTGGGTGCTGGCAAACTGGGACCACATCCGTAAGATAAGACCGGCACCCTCCACTTCCTGGGGGCTTCCCCTATTCCCCTTCCCTTCCTGGCAGTGTTGATGTTGGTTGCCATGACAAACGGAAGGGCGAGATTGCTAAGCCCTGAGTAGCTGAGCAGTGCTATGATGCCCAGAGACAAACTCTCACCCCGTGTTTCTGCACTTGCCCTTGGGGATGCAGGGCTGGGGCGTGTCCCAGGCTGGCCAGGTTCTGTAAGCTTTTGGTTTGGACACGTTTGAAATTAGGTTAAGGTGAGCATCCAGGTATAGTGGGCTCCAGAGAGAAAAGAACACAGAGGGGCGTGTGTGGGAGGTGTAGGGAGGAGGAGGAGGAGGCAGATCCCGGCAGTGGGTCCTGGCAGGAGACCTCAGGCTGGCCCTCTGGAGAAAAGTCCCAAGTCTATAATAACAACCAGCTGTCAGAGTCACCTCCTTTGATTGATTGATTGACTGAAGTGGGATCTCACTATGTTGGCCAAGCTGGTCTCAAATTGCCTCAAGTGATCCTCCCGCCTCAGCCTTCCAAAGTGTTTGGGGTTGTGGCCAGGTACAATAGCTCATGCCTGTAATCTCAGAACTTTGGGAAGCTGAGGCAGGAGGATCACTTGAGGTCAGGAGCTTGAGACCAGCCTGAACTACATGGTGAAGTCTCCACTAAAAATTTAAAAATTAGCTGGGCATGGTGGCACATACCTATACTCCCAGCTACTTGGGAGGCTGAGGCAGGAGAATCACTTGAACCTGGGAGGCAGAGGTGAGTGAGGCCTGGGAGGCCTGCAGTGAGCTGAGATCACGCCACGCCCCCACAGCCTGGGTGACAGAGTGAGACCCCTTCTCAAAAAAAAAAAAAGTGCTGGAGTTACAGGCATAAGTCCATGCCTGGCCTTCCACCTCCTTCTTATATGACTGCTTAGAAAGAAAGAAAAAAACTCAGACATTTACAATTACGCAGATAGGCCCAATCTTTTAGGCTCTAAGTGAGGAATAGGAGGTGGTGGAATGTTAGAGGTGGACTGGTAGAATAAAATAGGCCTTGTTCCTGCAGGTGCCTTGGAAAAATCGAAGATGAAAGACCTTGCATTATTTCCTGGGGGTGTGAGCCAGCCTTGTTCTTGTTTACCATTGTCAACTCTGTGCACAAAGCTATTTATGAGTCGGTTGTAACGGATACAGGAAATATGAGCTTCTGAGCCTCTCCCTATTGCTTTGTTTCCTGCTGCTTAGGTGGGAAGTCACGACCTGACCCTTGTTAACCTTCACCTGGCAGCCCTGACCCTCCCGGGGAGTGAGAATTTCAGCAAGAATCACAGTGATGGCCACCGGTTGGCGAGCTTTGCACAGACCCTACAGGAAACGCTGAAAGGTAGGAAATTGTCTTTTGCCATGGCTCGGCCACTGTTTTGCAGAGCAGCAGCGCTGCCTCTTCTGACCACCTCTGACCGGTTGGGCTGGCTGTTTGTCAGCAATGTGAGTCGCAGGTACAGGGGACAATCAAACCTCTGGCATCTCATGGAGCCCAGCTGACCCTGCATGGTCACATCTGTGCCTCTGTGGACCGAGAATATGCGTTCCAAGGTGTCAGCTCTGTGGCTTTTTAGCCTCATTTAGATAGAAAGGATTGGGGGCGGGGAAATATAAGTGATGCTGCCCTTCCCCGAAGACAGCTCACTGGGGCTCCAGCTGCCTTGGGCAGCACTCTGGTGGTGCTGCCTGCAGATCTGCATGTGCTCTTCCTGTGAATGAGAGACAGGAGCTGACAATGGGAAATGGTAAATTCCTCATTATTGGTGAATTGAGTTTTTCTCTCTGGCGGGATACAGATCATGTTGAAGAAGCCCTGAACCTGTCAGAAAAGCTGGATTTTAATCTTGTAAGACCTCAGGCAAGCCACCAAACCACTTCAGGCCCCCATCTGATGGGGGACAGTACTCATCTCATAGCAGTACCCAGAGGGCTAAGTAACAGTGCCTGCAGCAATACCAACACATAGGAGGGACTTCATGTACATGAGTTGACTCTAAAACATGAGAAGAATTAAGAGAACACTGAAAAGAGCAAAATTCTGGCCAGGCACGGTAGGGTAGCTCATGCCTGTAATCTCATCACTTTGGGAGGCCAAGGTGGGAGGATCACTTGACCCCAGGAGTTCAAGAGCAGCTTGGGCAACATAGTGAGACCCCGTCTCTACAAAAAACGAAAAAATTAGCCGGATATGGTGGTACCCGCCAGTAGTCCCAGATATTCAGGAGGTTGAGGAGGGAGAATCACTTGAGCGCAGGAAGTCGAGGCTGCAGTGAGCTTTGATCGCACCAGTGTACTCCAGTCTGGGCAACACAGCAAGATCCCATCTCTTAAAAAAAAAAAAAAAGGGGAGCTGAACTCCAGGACAATGTGGGGCTATGCCCCAACGAATATAGATGGTTTTCTGCACTTGGTTTACCAAAAGGAAAGGTTGACAAGGCTGTGAAGACTGTGATCTTTTCCATCTGGCTTGATTTTTCAGAACGCTGACCTTGTCTAGGTGAGTTTGTAGCTGGAGGCCTGGAATTCTCTTCTATCTTTTGAGTCTGAACCAATATTCTCTAGCTTTCTAAGACTTCCTTGTTAAACTGGCCCCTCACATTGGGAGGTTCATGAAGATTTTACTACAAAAATATTTCAGTCGAACTATAGGCTCACATTTCAAGAGATGTATGTATATAATGTGTTTGAATTTGCATTTCTAACAACAAAGATTTTTTATTGTGGTAAAATATATATCACACAAAATTTACCATTTTAATCATTTTACGTATTCAAGTCAGTGCTACTAATGTATTGACATTGTTGTACAAACATTACCACAGTCCATCTCCAGAACCTTTTCATCTTTCCAAACTGAAGCTCGGTACCCGTTCAACGATATCTCCCCAGGGACCCCTCCCTGCAGCCCCTGGCAACCAGCATTCTACTCTGTGTCTCTGAATGTGACTACTCTAGGTGCCCCACATAAGTAGAATCAGACAATATTTGTCCTTTTGTGTCTGGCTTGTTTCACTTAGCATGATGTCCTCAAGGTTCATCCATGTTGTAGCATGTGTCAAAATTTCCTCACTTTTTGAGGCTGAATAATGTCCCACTGTGCATCTATGCACCGTATTTTGTTCCTTATCCGTTCATCTTGTGATAGACACTTGGGTGGCTTCCACCTTTGTCCTATTGTGACAACGCTGCTGTGAACGTTGATGTGCAGCAGCTTTTCTTTTGAACCCGGACATGCTGTGGCCAACGTTCCACTTTGAGGGTGAGTCCTCAGGCTAAAAACAGTCAGAAGATGCTCTGTCCAAGAAGCAGCTGTGTGGGAAATTGTCCACCCACAGTTAGACTCTGATGACTCTGATCTGTAAAAAGGACGACTTGATAGCTTGTCATATCTGTGGACATTACTATTGTTCTTGACCTCAAACTTTATGTGGAAGCAGAAAGGAAAGATGCCAGCTCATCATTTCTTTGGCAGCCTTAGGCAGTCACCATCCCCCACCCCCCACCCCTGGTATCCAGGGAGTGGTCAGGATTTTAGCAGAAAACCTTGGGCAGGTTATTGTTCCAAATTGCCAAGGTGCTATTGATCCACAGCCTGGCTTGGCCTTGACTCGTTCGTGTAGGGACAGTGACTCATGCTGCCTGTGTCCCCTGCCTGTAACTAGTAACCAATTAATTGTTAACTGGTGACACTTCAGACCCAGGGGTTCGGGAAGCAATTCAGCCTGCCCAGGTCTAACAAGGGTAAACAGGTCAGCAGAGGGGTTCAGCTAAAGCAAAGACAAAGCCTTCATTCCACAGGCTTCTATCAGAGCAAGCAGAACCGATGTGGTTAGCAAGCTCTGGGCCTTTCTGCCTTTGTCTGGAACGTGCATGCAGGCTGACGTCAGTGGGGATATGCCGGTCCCCTAGGGGAACCTTCTTCTCTCAGACCTCACTGGGACTTGGGGACACGGTCTCCCTCTGTGAACTGAGCAAGAGTGAAACAGCGTGTGTAGTAACTCTTGACATCTTGGCAGATGGTCCCTCAGTGGGGACTGGTTCCTGTAGTTGTTACTGGCGTTTTATAAATCTAGAGACTCTCTGAGGAAGTCAGCCCACAGTGTTCTCCTCTCACTGCTGGGAATCAAGGGAGCGATAAAGGAGCCCCGCCCAGGTGGGTGGCTTTTTAGAAAGATAACTCAGGCTCCTGTGGCAAGAACTGCCTTGATGTCATCACCGACGCGGATCCAATCGGAAGAACATGAGTTGTAAGAAATCCGATATGCTCATTCAAAAAGGGAACCGTTGCACTCCTGAAGCTACACAGAGCTGGCTCTATTGACCCTTGACACCAGCATCACTCCTGATTTTGGAATTGTCCTTTTCAGCCCAGATCTTTGCAGGCCTGCATCCCAACGAAAACCTCCCTCATTATATGGGAACTTTGTTTTCTTCGATATTTAATGAATGTAGCATCTTTCTCTTTGTTCCTTTCCAAGTCTAACTGCACCTGAATTCTGGGGCATTTGTGGTTCCGCTTGTCTGTTGGTCACATATTTATTGAGTGCCTGCTGATGCACCTGGTGTTGCAGTGGACAGCAGCCGCTTCTGTATGGCTCTTCCATCCTCGCCCTTTGTGATGAGCCCTGGATCTGAGGCCTGGCCTGGTGACTTTGGGCAAACCTTTCCACCTCTGGGAGCCTGTTTCGTACCTGCAGAGGGGAGATGGTAACAGCATCTGCCCCATGGATCGTGGCTGTTAAGTGCGGCGCTATCGAGGAAGTGGTTAGCACAGTGCTGTGACTATGATTCAAGCTGGCACTGATTTCTCCACGGTGTGGGTGGCCCTGCAGGAGAGGCTTCCTTTCATCCTACCCACTGTCCTCACTCCTCCTGGAGGAGGGCGCCATCTGCAATGCACATGCGCCCTCTGGTGGTAGCCCGAGCGGCTTCCCTTCAGATTCCTTTCCCTCCAGCCGTAATTACGGAAGCACACACATGGCCAGGAAAAAAAGATTTGCAAAGTGTCTTGGATACATTTACGACTTCGTTTATGAACTGCTTTCCCTAAAGCCTCCTTCACAAGGTGTGGCAGAAATGCCACCTCCTGCTGTGGGACAACAAGGGTCGGGCAGAGCCCGGGGAATCCTGCAGAGCCCAGCTGGGGGGTGAGTGTTCTTTCAGGATTTCTACTCGCTTTGCTTGGAAAATACTTCATAACTGTTCCACTTCCTCTAGGGCAAATCAGACTGTGGGAGAAATGTCTAAAATGCTTTAAGAGAAAACCTTTCCCCCTTGGCCCTGAAATCACTTTGTAGTTCTTATGCACAAATATTTAACTTCCGCTGGGTGTCTCTCCCTGACAAACGTGTGAAGCTGGATCAGGAAACTGATCAGGAGGGGGGCCCAAGCTACATGTGAGTGCCCCGTGCCAGGCGCTTCTGGTGGCTTCTCTAATCCTGACACCAGCCTGGGGGGAAATGACTTGTTCTTTCCCTTTTATGAACTAAAAGGCTTGCCCAAGGTCACGAAACTGGGAAGTGACAAACCTCAAATTCCACACTCAGAGTCATCCAGCTGTTGTCTCTTAGAACCGGGGCTGAGAACCACTGTTTTCCTTCTTTCTTTTTTCTTTTTCTTTCTTTTCTTTTCTTTACCTTTCTTTCTTTTTTTTTTTCTTTTTTTTCTTTCTTTTCTTTCCTTTCTCGCTCGCTCGCTCTCTTTCTCTTTCTTTCTCTCTTTTTCTTTCTTTTCTTCTTTGACAGAGTCTCACTCCAGCCGAGGCTGGAGTGCAGTGCAATGATGTTGGCTCACTGCGACCTCTGTCTTCTGGATTCAAGCGATTCTCCTGCCTCAGCCTCCCACGTAAATGGGATTACAGGCACCCACCCTATGCCTGGCTGATTTTTGTATCTTTAGTAGAAATGGATTTTCACCATGTTGGTCAGGCTAGTCTCAAACTCCTGACCTCAGGTGATCCGCCCACCTCAGCCTCCCAAAGTGCTGGGATTACAGGTGTAAGCCACTGCGCCCGGCCTAGAGCCACTGTTTTCTGATATGCTCCTGTGTCAGGTTTTGTTTCATTTTCAGCCCCCCTATGACCACTCTTCCTCCTAGCTAATTTGGAGTAATAAGGTGAAATGAGGACTTGGAAGAATAGGACACAAAAGTGTCATTGTTTTCAGAGAATATAATTGTCCGTTTGTTACACCTAAAGTTAAAAAAAAATTAGTCCCAGTAAGAGAATTAAGAAAACTACCTAGTTACAAAATTAAAATAAAAAATTAGTCCTTTTGATATATATCATAATAACCTATGGAAATAAAAAAATTTAAAAATAACCATTAGAGAAAATATAATGGGATAAAACAAAGATCCCATTCATAATAAAAATCAAAAATATAAAATACTTAGAAATGTGGTGGTAAAGTGAAAGAAATGTAAGACTTTAGTGAAGAATTTTTTGAATAAATACTTGAATCAATGGAGAAACATGGCAAAGTATTCTCGGGTGAGACGTGTTGACAGTTCGAGGTACCCGTCCTTACCGTGTTTCCGTGTAGTTGACTGCACCAGGTCCCAGCAGACCTCTTTAATATTCTAGGTGTGGTTGCCACACCTGGCTGGACATGGAATCCCAGAGAGCTTCAGGAAATGCTGAAGACCAGGCCACCAGAGACGCTAAATCAGAATCTCTGCAGGTGGAACTCCAATTTCTGAGAGTGGGACTCAAGCATTAATATTTTTTTGAACTCCCAATGCCCCAAGGGCTTTTTGTAGAGCTCCCCGCCTCCTACTTCAGTCAGAGAAGCTCCACTTTTACCCACTCTACTTTTGGGGCTTCCTACAGGATCTCATTTGAGAAAAGGAACACCCCCACCCCATACATTTTAAAAAGAAATAATGTTTAGCCGGGCGCCGTGGCTCATGCCTGTAACCCCAGCACTTTGGGAGGCTGGGGTGGGTAGATCACCTGAGGTGAGGAGTTCAAGACCAGCCTGGCCAACATGGTGAAACACCATCTCTACTAAAAATACAAAAATTAACCAGGCACAGTGGCATGCATCTGTAATCCCAGCTACTTGGGAGGCTGAGGCAGGAGAATCGCTTGAACCTGGGAGGCGGAAGCTGTAGTGAGCCGAGATCGCGCCACTGCACTCCAGCCTGGGTGACAGAGTGAGACTCCATCTCAAAAAATAAAAAAGAAAAAAAAGTTTCAAAATTGCTTATTTGAAGCAGATCCATCTCTAGAATGTACTGATAAGGAAAAAAAAAGTAGGAATTGATAGGTAAAGTTGCTACCATTTGAGTGAAAATAACTATGTAAGTATATACATCTACTTCTCTGTGTAGAGTGTCTAGAAGGGGACAGACACAAGCAACAGAGAACAGCCTTCTCCTGCCAACCAAAGACAAGAATGTTAAAGTTCACATGGGTTTAGTTTAAAAGAAAATTTGGGAATGAAAATTTCAATATCATGAGAATATATAAACATTTTAAATGAAAGAATATTAAAACATATAGTACTAGCTCAAAAATAGATCAATATGATAGAATAAAGCTCAGAAATAGAAATGTTATACAGAAGATCTTTAAGATAACAGGCCAGTGTTATAATTTAGTTGAGAAAGAAAGAATTTTTCTAGAAATGGTACTGGCAGAAGGGGTTAATTATTTGCATGAAAAATAAAAGTAAATTCCAGGCAAGTTAAAGAGTGAAATGTATCATCACATAGGAGGCCGTGGGGCGGGGGGGGGAAGGTGAAATGTAAGAAATGAAATGATAATAAGAACTTAGTGGATATTTGTTTGATTTTGGAGGCACTCTAGGAAAATTCTTCCAGATTGTACTACATTTAAAAAAAAATTTTTTTTAAACGTTTGTGTGCTTCAGTTTGGTCATAGACCAAATGAAAAGGCAAATGACAAACTAAAAAGAAAACCAGTTCCTATATATGATAAAAGGTCGATATGTTTACATATGGAGAGTTCATATAAATCAATAAACAAAACACTGATACCTGTACAAAGAATAGACCTGACAAGCATCGTTTCTGATGCCATTCTCTGATGGAACCAGGGCTCCTCAGAGAAATGGCTGATGCGAGGACTGAGAAAATACATAGCACGGTAGGTCAGGCATCGTGGCTTACGCCTATAATCCCAGCACTTTGGGAGGCCAAAGTGAGCGGATCACTTGAGGTCAGGAGTTCCAAGACCAGCCTGGCCAACATGGTAAAACCCCATCTCTAGTAAAAATACAAAGACTAACCAGGCGTGGTGGTCCACACCTGTAATCCCAGCTACTCAGGAGACTGAGGCAGGAGGATTGCTTGAACCCGAGAGGCAGAGGTTGCAGTGAGCCGAGATCCACCACTGCACTCCAGCCTGGGTGACAGAGTGAGACTCTGTCTCAAAAAAAAAAAAAAAAAAAAAAAAAAAAAAAAAAAAAAAAAGGCATGATCTTGGAGTATCTTGTCGTGTCAGAAGGAAGTGCTCAAACAAACAAACAAGAAAACCTGCTGGGTGGATGTCAAAAGGAAGTATGAGCCAACTGAAAGAGCTCTCAGTGACCAAAACTGGAAACATTTTGGGAACAAAGTCAATGACATAGTACTGGATATAACTCGAGGTATACCTGAGTTATACCTCATGAGTATCCATGAGTCCATACTGATCTAAGTAAATGGTTGAAAAAGTTAATAAATGGGAAGAAGAGATCCATCCCTTGTGCAGCAGAATTCCAAATAATGTGTGTAGATACTCCAACCTAAAGGAGGCGGAGCACAACTTAATTTTCTACAAATGGAAGACATCATTTCCACATATCAAATGAATGTTTTGGTGAGGGATGCAGTGAGAGGAATTTCCTTAGGTTGCTGGGGAGGGTTAAAACCAGAGCAGCTGTGCAAAGCAGGCTGGCAGTATTTATCCAGAGCCTTAACAATGGCCATAGTTTTTCATGAGGATTCTTTGTAGTTCTAAGGACAGAAAGCTGCCAGGTATGGTGGCTCACGCCTATAATCCCAGCACTGCGGGAGGCCGAGCCGGACGGATCACTTGAGGTCAGGAGTTCGAGATCAGCCTGGCCAACATGGTTAAACCCCGTCTGTACTAAAAATACAAAAATTAGCAAGGCGTGGTGGTGGGTGCCTGTAGTCCTAGCTATTAAGGAGGCTGAAGCAGGAGAATCACTTTAACCCAGGAGGCAGAGGTTGTAATGAAGCGAGATTGTGCCACTGCACTCCAGCCCGGGCAACAGAGCGAGATTGTCTCAAAAACAAAACAAAACAAAAAAAACTCAAATGAGATGCTCACTTCAGCATTATTTATAGCAGTGGCTACTGGGAACAGCCTTAAAAGTGCCCAGCAGCAGAAAAATGGTACATTATGTGCATCAACATGATGGATGGATGGATACTGTGGGCTGCCCATTGAATACCAGGAAGACCCAGGCTTTTCCCCTGGTCTCTTGATCTGAATTTGAGCCTCAGGCAGACAGAGCACAGTTTCCATTTGAGGAGTTGTTGCTGCTTATATGTCCAGCCTCATCTTTAACATCTGGCTTCTTGATACCTTGTCCTAGAGAAGTAGCCAACTGAACCTCAGGTACCCACCCCACACCCAGGAAGCCAGGCTGTTTCTTAACTCCCTGGCCTTGCGTGGGTTCCCTCTCATCCTTGTTGAACCGAGCACTTCCGTGCATCCTCTGAGACCCAAGTCAGGCATTGCCTCCTCTGGGAAGCCTTCCCTGACCACCTTTCCCTGTGCTGTGTTGGTTTCAGTATGTGTGTTTGTTTTTGCACCTACTCTCTGCTCTTGTCTGTTTTCTGTCTGTCTCTCAGAGCAGGAGTTGCATTTTATTCATCTCTGGATTTCCTGCATAGTAAGTGCCCAGTAAATGTATGTTGAGCTTTTGTTAAATATTTGGGCAAGACCCTTAGGCTTTTTTTTTTTTTTTTTGTAATGAGATTGGGAACCCATAAGCTTCAACAGGGGTGATTTTTGTGTCACGCCGCCCCTCATTTCCAAACGCGTTGCTGACTTACTCTTAATGTTGGTGGCGGGGTGATATGCACACGAAATGTGGAAGAGTTAGGAGAGTGAGAACTGAGAACCGTGCCAGTCCTAACCCCGTGGAAGTCAAGTCAGAATCTCGATCCCATTTCAAAGGGCCATGGTCCATGCTGGGTTTTACTTCCCACCAACTCTTAAACTCATTTTTTTCCTTCCACTTGCAGGAGAAAAGGATGTCATTATCTTAGGAGATTTTGGCCAAGGGCCAGACAGCAGTGACTATGATATTCTGAGGAAAGAAAAGTTCCACCACCTGATCCCCACACACACCTTCACCAATATCAGCACCAAGAACCCGCAAGGCTCGAAGCCTCTGGACAACATCTGGATCAGTAAAAGCTTAAAGAAGGTTTTCACAGGTGAGGCAGAACTCACGTGTCCTTTCGCCTGTTCGGGAATGGAGGGAGAGAAACATGTTTGAACTGACAGAAGTCATCTCACCTCCTCTGGGGCATTCATAGGGTTGTGGTTTAGATGACTGTATAACTGCCATTCAATCAGAGACAGAATCCAGGAATCCAGGCCCCTGTCAGTCCTGCACTGAGGACCGCACAGTGCTTTCCAGCCATTCTCTAATTGTTTTTGTAACTATTCGTTATTTAATTATATTCAAATATACCTCCTGCTTCATAGATTTCTAAATCCTCATTTTTCAAAGTGAAGGGGGGAGTATGACAAATAATTTTAGAACACCCACTGACCTACAGCAAGCAGATGTGTTCTGGGCAAACCTGGTCATAGATTAGCAGAGTCCTGATTCAGAGATGCGCTGATAACGTTACTTTTAGGACACTTAGTCCTCTAGCAAACGTGTCAAACGTGCAAGCGCTGTGTTGTAGAATGCAGCGTAGACATGCTGTGAGGTGGATGTGCTGTGAGGTGAGCAGGCGTCTCATGTAGTGTCACAATGGGACAGGAGACATGCTCAGAGCTCCGCAAGGAGCAGGGTGTGGGGGTGATTTCACCCTCCCTACAAACTGGTAACCTGCTGAGACAGGAGACAGTCAGCGATATGGAAGAGACAGTAGGGTCTTTTGATGAAAGACAAAAACAGTGTTTCTAAACTCTGACTGGACGCTTTGCAAAGCCCCATGGATGCCTATTATACTTCAATGAGAAATTTAAAAATAAGAAGAGTTGCAGGGCCTGACTTTTATTGCAAGAGAGACTAACGGGCAGCCAAGGCCAAGATCTTCAAGACTAGGACATCTAGGCTTGACTCTCACCCGCTTCTCCCCTCTCTCTCGGGGCACTAGTTTCCTATTGTACTCTGTCATGGGAGGACCCAAATGATAAAGAAAATGGGTCTCAGGGGAGTGACAATCATCAAACTAGCCTTGGTTTGCAGAAATGTTCTATGGGCCAGGAGCAGAGGCCAGCCCATGGCCTTTTCAGGCTCCCAGGAAGGTGCCTATTGAAGGAAGAGAGCTGGGGAAGCTGAGCCAACAGGGCTGGAAGTTGGAAATCCTTTCAGTGGTTCCCTTCCTGTGAAGTTGCTGAGCTCAGGGAGGAGTTGCCCCCGCTATAGAACGGTCAGCAGTGTGTGCCAAAGCTCCACCTAGAATCCAGGCCCCTGTCAATCCTGCGCTAAGGACCGCACAGTGCTTTCCTGCCATTCTGTAATTGTTTTTGTAACTATTCGTTATTTAATTATATTCAAATATACCTCCTGCTTCATAGATTTCTAAATCGCCATTTTAAAAATACTGTTACTTTCTCATAAGCTTCTGTAATTTTCTCTTTTTTACCCTTTCTGTAGAAAAGATTTCTACCCCTAACCCCCTTAGTGTCTTTTGCTTTGCAAAATCGGACCTTTGCTTTGGACTTGGGACATCTTTCTGAGGCTTGTGTCTCTGTCTTGTGATTAGATTGACAGCAGTGCGTGTGTGAGGACAGGTTAGCCCATGTGTCCGGATGGACAGGAGGCCTGGCTCTGGGTGGTCTCATTACCTAAATGCAGAAACCCTCGTTTATGTGGAAAATCAAATTGGCCAAGACCTTTCATATGCACAGGCAAATGCAGAGGCACCTTCCGGCTACCTGAGGCAGCCTCTCCGGGCACCCCGGCCTGTAGACATGCGGAGTGACCCTCCACCTGCCAGCCCAGGACCCCCCGCACCCACCCCACCATCCTGATTCCCGGTCTCTTCCCTTCCTCTCCCTTCAGGTCACTGGGCTGTGGTGAGAGAAGGCCTCACGAACCCTTGGATTCCGGATAACTGGTCTTGGGGTGGGGTGGCTTTTTTT